GAAAATTACAACAGTGTAGGTTTCCATAGTGTAGTGGTTATCACGTTTGCCTAACACGCAAAAGGTCACCAGTTAGAAGCTGGGCGGAAACAACATGAAGGAGCTCTTTCTGAAAATCTACTGTGGTATTTTATTTTTGGACATTAAGGAATTTTACTTTTGTGTTATTTTATCCAAAATGATAAAAGAAATTATGAAAATTAGAACAGTGTAGGTTTCCATAGTGTAGTGGTTATCACGTTTGCCTAACACGCAATAGGTCCCCAGTTAGAAACTGGGCGGAAACAACATGAAGGAGCTCTTTCTGAAAATCTACTGTGGTATTTTGTTTTTGAACATTAAGGAAAATATGAAAATAAGAACAGTGTAGGTTTCCGTAGTGTAGTGGTTATCATGTTTGCCTAACACGCAATAGGTCCCCAGTTAGAAACTGGGCGGAAACAACATGAAGAAACTTTTTCTGAAAATCTACTGTGGTATTTTGTTTTTGGACATTAAGGAATTTAACTTTTGTGTTATTTTATCTAGAATGATTTGAAAAAAATGTGAAAATTACAAATGCGTAAGTTTCCGTGGTGTAGTGGTCTTCAAGTTTGCCTTACATGCAAAAGGTCCCCAGTTCGAAACTGGGCGGAAACAGCAAGAAGGAACTTTTTCTGAAAATCTACAGTGGTATTTTGTTTTTGGACATTAAGGAATTTAACTTTTGTGTTATTTTATCCAAAATGATTTGAAAAAAATGTGAAAATTACAAATGCGTAAGTTTCCGTAGTGTAGTGGTCATCACGTTTGCCTTACATGCAAAAGGTCCCCAGTTCGAAACTGGGCGGAAACAACAAGAAGAAACTTTTTCTGAAAATCTACTGTGGTATTTTTTGTTTTTGGACATTAAGGAATTTAACTTTTGTGTTATTTTATCCAAAATAATCAAAAAAAATATGAAAATTAGAACAGTGTAGGTTTCTGTAGTGTATTGTTTATCACGTTTGCCTAACAGGCAATAGGTCCCCAGTTAGAAGCTGGGCGGAAACAACATGAAGGAGCTCTTTCTGAAAATCTACTGTGGTATTTTGTTTTTGGACATTAAGGAATTTAACTTTTGTGTTATTTTATCCAAAATGATTTGAAAAAAAAAATGTAAAAATTACAACAGTGTAGGTTTCCGTAGTGTAGTGGTTATCACGTTTGCCTAACATGCAAAAGGTCCTCAGTACGAAACTGGGCGGAAACAACAACAAGAAGGAACTTTTTCTGAAAATCTATTGTGGTATTTTGTTTTTGGACATTAAGGAAAATATGAAAATAAGAACAGTGTAGGTTTCCGTAGTGTAGTGGTTATCATGTTTGCCTAACACGCAATAGGTCCCCAGTTAGAAACTGGGCGGAAACAATATGAAGGAGCTCTTTCTGAAAATCTACTGTGGTATTTTATTTTTGGACATTAAGTAATTTTACTTTTGTGTTATTTTATCGAAAATGATAAAAGAAAATATGAAAATTAGAACAGTGTAGGTTTCCATAGTGTAGTGGTCATCATGTTTGCCTAACACGCAAAAGGTACCCAGTTAGAAACTGGGCGGAAACAATTTGAAGGAGCTCTTAATGAAAAACTACTGTGGAATTTTCTTTTGGACATTAAGGAAATTATCTTTTGTGTTATTTTATCCAAAATGATTTGAAAAAAAAATGTGAAAATTACAACAGTGTAGGTTTCCGTAGTGTAGTGGTTATCACGTATGTATGGTCATCGTTTAAATGCAAAAGGTCCCCAGACAGAAACTGGGTGGAAACAACAAGAAGGAACTTTTTCTGAAAATCTACTGTGGTATTTTGTTTTTGGACATTAAGGAATTTAACTTTTTGTGTTATTTTATCTAAAATGTAAAAAAAAAATATGAAAATAAGAACAGTGTAGGTTTCCGTAGTGTAGTGGTGTTCACGTTTGCCTCACACGCAAAAGGTCCCCAGTTCGAAACTGGGAAGAAACAACAAGAAGGAACTTTTTCTGAAATTCCACTGTGGTATTTTGTTTTTGGACATTAAGGAATTTAACTTTTGTGTTATTTTATCCAAAATGATCAAAAAAATGTGAAAATTACAACAGTGTAGGTTTCCGTAGTGTAGTGGTAATCAAGTTTGTCTAACACGCAATAGGTCACCAGTTAGAAACTGGGCGGAAAAAACATGAGGGAGCTCTTTCTGAAAATCTACTGTGGTATTTTGTTTTTGGACATTAAGGAATTTAACTTTTGTGTTTTTTTTTTATTCAAAATGATTGAGAAAAATGTGAAAATTACAACAGTGTAGGTTTCCGTAGTGTAGTGGTTATCACGTTTGCCTAACATGCAAAAGGTCCTCAGTTCGAAACTGGGCGGAAACAACAACAACAAGAAGGAAGTTTTTCTGAAAATCTACTGTGGTATTTTATTTTTGGACATTAAGGAATTTTACTTTTGTGTTATTTTATCCAAAATGATAAAAGAAAATATGAAAATTAGAACAGTGTAGGTTTCTGTAGTGTAGTGGTCATCACGTTTATATGCAAAAGGTCCCCAGTTCGAAACTGGGCGGAAACAATTTGATCGAGCTCTTAATGAAAAACTACTGTGGAATTTTCTTTTGGACATTAAGGAATTTAACTTTTGTGTTATTTTATCCAAAATGATTTGAAAAAAAAATGTATAAATTACAACAGTGTAGGTTTCTGTAGTGTAGTGGTCATCACGCAAAAGGTCCCCAGTTCGAAACTGGGTGGAAACAACAAGAAGGAACTTTTTCTGAAAATCTACTGTGGTATTTTGTTTTTGGACATTAAGGAATTTAACTTTTTGTGTTATTTTATCTAAAATGATAAAAAAAAAATGAAAATTAGAACAGTGTAGGTTTCCGTAGTGTAGTGGTTATCATGTTTGCCTAACACGCAATAGGTCCCCAGTTAGAAACT